CAGACCCCGAGGTTGGATATGGTCCTCCAGGGGGTGACGGGGACAGGGAAGCCAGTTTCCAGGCAGGTGGGTGGAGTGGGGTAAGGAGGGAGGCCCTGAAATGAGGGGAGTCGCTGGCAGGAGGGGCTGTGGCTGTGCCATCGGCTGTTCAGACACGGGAGGTCGCCGAAGGCGGAGACGCAGTGAGCCGTTCTATCCCATTTCAAATAGTGTGGTTCTCCGGTTCAGGATCGAGAGGACATTAGCCACTAAGAGCTTTTCCTCTTTTCTAGGTCCCGGCAAAAAGCTGTGTCCGACGGGACTTTTGCTGTTTTTGTGTTCGGTAAGTTCCCTGTAAACCATCAGGAACTTCTCCACGGAGGCCGGCTGCCTCCCACGGTCACTGGCTAGTGCCACGGCCTGTCCTGGCCTCTGGGGTCTGCAGGGGCCCCTGAGGGATGCGGTCCTACCTGGGCCTGTCCTGCGTGGGGCCTGGGGGTTTGATTTCTCAACAGTTTTCACAGCAGCATCTTCTCATTCACAAACGGAATAGCTGGAGCCCAGGACACTTTCTCAGGTCAACCTGAAGGTGATGTCACAGCAGGGAGGCGACAGTGAGGAGAGAGCTGAGTGGTTTGGGGGGGGAGGGAGCTCGGGCCAGGGGGCCAGAAACTAGGAACAAGGCTTGTCTGCGGAGCATAGGGGCAGAGCCCACCTGCTAAGATTACCCATGAGGGGCTGGCTGTGCAGTCCCGCGATGGAGGGCATTACAGACCTTAAACCGCCGCCTCGCCCAGGGTGACGCGCGGAAAAGCCCTCCAGCTTCGTAGTTACCATCGTAGTTGCCATAACAACTTCGTATCTCTTTCCATGAGCATCCGTCTCCAGACTGTATTTTTAGCAACGACTGTCAGAGCGTGTACTTTTTTTAAATATAGCAGCTAATTTTTCAAATGACCAATCTTAAAAAATAGAACAATCCCACCTTCATTCTCTCTGAGTGTAACAGTCTCAGGGGTAATGAGGGAGATGAGCAGGTGGGGACGTTCGCTATGAAAAACGCTGTGAAAGGACTGGTCCTAACATCTGTTCCGACAGAATGTTCTCTGGATCCGTGTCAGGCACCATCACATGGCTCTTCTCTGGGGGGCTCACCAGTGTTGGGAAGTCATTGGTGCGGGAAGGTGTGTGAGGTTATCTGACAAGCACAGGTGTGGGCTGTGAAATAGGAATTAGCTTCAGGGCACCCGGGTGTCAGGAAGGAATGCGGTGGCTCACCTTCCCTACCCAAACGCACGGCCTAGGAGAGCAGGCGTGGAGTGACGTTCCAGACGCCATGGGAAGGCCCGGGAGCCAGGGGGCGTGCTGAGTGGCCGCCTCCGTTTCCAGATTTGCCTCCGCGGCTCCACCCAGCTGGGCCGTTTGCTTGCTTGCTTGATTGATTAATTTTTATTTTGTTTTATTGATTTTACAGGGAGAGGATGGGAGAGGGAGAAACATCAACATGGACTGGCTGCCTCCTGCACGCCCCACACTGGAAATCGAGCCCGCAACCCGGGCCTGTGCCCTGAGCGGGAATGGAACCCTGACCTCCTGGTTCCTAGGTTGACACTCGACCACTGAGTCACGCCAGCCGGGCAAGAAATGAGTTTTTAATGTTCGACTTCCCGCCTGAAGGGCCCACACAACGCGGTCCGAGGGCAGAGGCACCTTCTCAAAGGCGTGAGCGCCCCCCACTGCCTGGCACGGGTGGGGGTGTGGCCTGTGACCACCAGGCAGCCGCCGGGGACACTCCAAGTTCTCACCTTCAGCCCGTCAGAGTCACCTCAGGGGGGAGAGGGCCCCTCCAGGGTCGCTAGGCTGGGGCCCCAGGGACACTGTGCTCCTCTGACCCCTGGTGACCTGGGGCCTCAGGAATTCCATCCCAGCCCCTGACCCAGGATCAGGGTCCAGGGGGCGGAGGTCTGTCTGCCCAGCAGGGCGGCCCAGCTCCACTTTGCTGAGGGGCCTGTGAGGCCTCTCTGTGAAGGCGGGTCTCCAACCTGTAACACGAAGCCTCCAGTCCCGAGTCGGGTGAGGCCGGCCCCAGCAGGGCACTTCCCTCTCGGGGGTCCGAGTGCCTGGAAGGGGGGGTGGTTGGAGACAGTTACTGGGAGGGCGATCCTCCCTTACCTGCCTCCCAGGGCGAGCCCAGCGAGGTTGGAGGGGGGAAGGGAGGGAGGAGGGAAGGGCGGGGCCGGCCCCCTGCGCTTGCC